GGCGTCGTATCTGACCCGGGGGGGGGGTCGACCCCCCCCCCCCCCCCCCCCTCCCGGCGGGGGAGGGATCAAAGGGAAGGGGCTTCCCTTCGACTCAATTACGAGGTTGCTCAAGGTCGGCTTGGCTGGAGCCCAGGGGAAGAGGAGTCCCAGGGGGGGGCGTCGTATCTGACCCGGGGGGGGGGTCGCTACCCCCCCCCCCTCCCGGCGGGGGAGGGATCAAAGGGAAGGGGCTTCCCTTCGACTCAATTACGAGGTTGCTCAAGGTCGGCTTGGCTGGAGCCCAGGGGAAGAGGAGTCCCAGGGGGGGGCGTCGTATCTGACCCGGGGGGGGGGTCGACACCCCCCCCCCTCCCGGCGGGGGAGGGATCAAAGGGAAGGGGCTTCCCTTCGACTCAATTACGAGGTTGCTCAAGGTCGGCTTGGCTGGAGCCCAGGGGAAGAGGAGTCCCAGGGGGGGGCGTCGTATCTGACCCGGGGGGGGAGGGATCAAAGGGAAGGGGCTTCCCTTCGACTCAATTACGAGGTTGCTCAAGGTCGGCTTGGCTGGAGCCCAGGGGAAGAGGAGTCCCAAGGGGGGGCGTCGTATCTGACCCGGGGGGGGGGTCGACTACCCCCCCCCCCTCCCGGCGGGGGAGGGATCAAAGGGAAGGGGCTTCCCTTCGACTCAATTACGAGGTTGCTCAAGGTCGGCTTGGCTGGAGCCCAGGGGAAGAGGAGTCCCAGGGGGGGGCGTCGTATCTGAGCTCGGCTGAAGGTGGCTGGAGCCCTCCAGGGGGGGCCGGAGCCTCAAAGGGAAAGGGGCGTCGAGGAGTCCCGGGGGGGGCGTCGACCCCCTCCCCCCCAGGGGGGGGCGTCGTAACGGACCCGGGGGGGGGGTCGCTACCCCTCCCCCCTCCCGGCGAGGGAGGGATCAAAGGGAAGGGGCTTCCCTTCGACTCAATTACGAGGTTGCTCAAGGTCGGCTTGGCTGGAGCCCAGGGGAAGAGGAGTCCCAGGGGGGGGCGTCGTATCTGACCCGGGGGGGGGTCGACACCCCCCCCCCCCTCCCGGCGGGGGAGGGATCAAAGGGAAGGGGCTTCCCTTCGACTCAATTACGAGGTTGCTCAAGGTCGGCTTGGCTGGAGCCCAGGGGAAGAGGAGTCCCAGGGGGGGGCGTCGTATCTGACCCGGGGGGGGGGTCGCTACCCCCCCCCCCCTCCCGGCGGGGGAGGGATCAAAGGGAAGGGGCTTCCCTTCGACTCAATTACGAGGTTGCTCAAGGTCGGCTTGGCTGGAGCCCAGGGGAAGAGGTCTCCCAGGGAAAGGGAAGGACAGAGACGACGAGTACAAAGAATGACGGAGATGACGGCTCGAACGGAAAAGCCCCTCACACACGCCGACAGGGTCGGCCAAGGAGCAGTGATAGACCCCTCGCCGACGGGGAAGAAGGGTGCTTGGACGAGGAATCTCCCCGAGCCACCTCCGCCCAGAGGACTGGTGGGATTCCGCGTTTTTGGCGTGTTGCGCTTGGGAACCCCGATGTTGTTTCCAGCCGCAGTCTGCTATCCGGTATCGCAACCCGGCCATCGCATGTGTCGAGACAGGGGAGTCGTTGACCATCGGTTGTTCGCGCCCCTTCTCCTTGCCGTTCTTCCCTCTTCGTTCGTTGACATACTGTGCCCAGGAGGGAGGTTTTAGACCTTGCAGGGTTCCTTGTCTGATAAGGGCGGCGGTGATATATATATATATATATATATATATATATATATATATATATATACATATAACGGCGCACCGGGTCCGGGGGCCCGGGGCCGGGACCCCGACCACAAATGTGGGCCCGGGGGGCCCGGAGGCTCGTCGGACCGCCGGACGCCGTCCAAGATCGTTCGCAGGCGGCTTCGGAACGCGCTCCGATGGCTCCAGATGCCTTCCAAGACGCCTGTCATGACACCAAGAAGGTCCCAGAAGCCTCCAAGACGCTCCGAGAGGCAGCCCAAGAGAGGCCCAAGAAGCAAAAATCGTGTCATTCCTATGGGAAAACGTATCTTTTTCGCATGTTCGCCTCTTGGGTTTTCACCGCGTCCAAGACGGCCCAAGAGGCGCCCAAGACGGTCTACGAGGCCTCCGGGAGCGCTCCAAGGCTGCGCACGAGTGTCCCAGGACGGCCCCAAGACGGCCGAAGAGAGCCCCAAGACGAGTTCGAGAGGGGTCCCAGACGGAGAAAGCCAACCTCGAATTCCGAGCTTCCGGCCCAAGAGGCTCCAGGAGGCGCCAAAATGCCGCCAAGAGGCGCCAAAAGGCTCCCAAAAGCACCCCAAGACGTTCCGAGAGGCACCCCAAGAGAGGTCCAAGAAACAAAATCGTGCCATTCCTATGGGAAAACGTATATTTTTCGCATGTTCGCATCTTGGGCTTTCACCGCGTCCAAGACGGCCCAAGAGGCCTCCAAGACGGCCTAGGAGGCCTCCGGGAGCGCTCCAAGGCTGCGCACGAGTGGCTCAGGACGGCCCCAAGACGGCCCAAGAGAACCCCAAGACGACTTCGAGAGGGGTCCCAGAAGGAGAAAGCCACTCTCGAATTCCGAGCTTCCGGCCCAACAATCCCAGGAGGCGCCAAAACGCCACCCAGAGGCGCCAAAAGGCTTCCAAAATCAGCCCAAGACGTTCCGAGAGGCACCCCAAGAGGTCCAAGAAACAAAAATCGTGCCATTCCTATGGGAAAACGTATATTTTTCGCATGTTCGCATCTTGGGCTTTCACCGCGTCCAAGACGGCCCAAGAGGCCTCCAAGACCGCCCCAAGACGGCCCAAGAAGCTTCCAAGAGGGCCCCAGGACAGCCCAAGAGGGCCCCAAGACGGCCCAAGAGGCGCCTAAGATGGCCCAAGAGGGCCCCAAGACGGGCCCAAGAGGGGGCCCAGAGGGGGACCACGAACCGCAAGCTCGAGCCTTCCGCCCCAAGAGGCCGCCAGGAGGCCCCAAGGAGGCCCCTCAAGAGGCCCCAGGAGACCCCCAAGAGGCCCAAAGGAGGCCCCGAGAAGCCCCAAATCGGCCCCCAAAATGCTTCGAACCTGCTTCCAGGAGGCCCCCGACAGGTTCAGAGGCTCCCGAGAAGCTACGTCAAACTCCCAGCGAGCGGCCGGACGAGGCCCCCCAAAAAATCCCAAGAGGGTTCCAGCATTTGTATCCTTCAGCGCTCTCTGGCCTTCTTCCCCCTGCCCCCTTCCCTGCGACTTTCGTTGACTCAAGCTCGCCTCCTAGCTAGAACCTGAGCGCGCGCGAAGCGCGCGGCGTGGTTCTAGTAATATATATAGTACATACAATACATATATATACTATATATATATATATGTATAGATATATTTATGTATATATAATTTATATATATGATATATATATGTACCATTATATATATATATATATATATATATATATATTATATATATCGATTATGTCGGCGACGAGGCCGGGGGCCTCTGGCCAGCTGCCTCGACTCGCCACGGGGGGGCCCCCCCCCCCCCCCGGGCCTCTCCAGAGCCGCTCCGGGGCGTCTCCCGAGCGGCTCTGGCAGACCCTGGTGATGTTTCAGCACCAGGAATGGTTCCCATTTTCGACCCATGTCGCCGAAGCACGTGGTAGAGGTTTCGGGAGGCCTCCAACATGGCTCCAGACGCTTCCAGGAGCACTCCCAAGAGAGCCCCGGGAGGCCAAAGTTGTTGGTTTTCCGAGGATTTTGGAAGGATTTTGGCCTTCTGTTTTTTTCGGTTGTACGACGTTCCAAGACGGCCCAGGAGGTCTCCAGGTCTGCCCCCAAGCAGCCCCAGAGGCCCCCCCCAAGACAAGCCCAAGGCGGCCCCAAGCCCAAGGCTGGCCCAAGAAGCGCCCACGACAGCCCAAGAAGGCTCCAAAACAAACCCAAGAAGGGCCCAAGAGAGGGACCGCGTACCGAATACCCAGGGCTCCCGCCTCAACAGTGACCCTGGAGGCCACAGGCAGCCCCCAAGAGTCCTCCAACATGGCTCCAAACGCTTCCAAGAGCACTCCCACGAGGGCCCCAACAGGCCAACAATTGATAGTTTTACAATAGTTTTGGAAGGGTTTTGGCCTTCTGATCTTTGCGGCTGTCCGACGCTCCTAGGCGGCCCAGGAGGCCTCCGAGACCGCCCCCAAACAGCTCCAGAAGCGCCCAAGGCCGCCCCGAGGCGGTCCCGGAGAGCCCAAGGCTGGCCCAAGAAGCGCCCAGGGCAGCCCACGAGTGCCCCAAAACAGGCCCGAAAGGTGTCCAAGAGACGGACCGCGTCCGGAAAACCCAGGGCTTCCGCCTCAAGAGAGCCCCAGGAGGCCCCAGGTAGCTCCCAAGAGGCTTCAAACATGACTCAAGACGCCTCCAGGAGCACCCCCAAAAGGGCCCCAACAGCCCACAATCGTTCATTTCACGTAGGAATTGGAGCATGTTGGCCTTCTTGTCTTTTCGGCTTTCCGACGCTCCAATAGGGGCCCAGCGCGCCTCCAGGTCCGCTCCCAAGCAGCCCTAAGCGGGCCCAGAGAGCCCCAGGGAGCCTGCAAGACCGGCCCTACGCAACCCAAGAGCTCCTTGGCAGGATGGTCCGGGAGGGGGGAAGACCGGGGGAGCCTCTGGCGCCCCATTCTCCGGGAACGCTCCTCCGGAACATGGCGTGCGAACGTGGGCGGCATGGTCGCCGTCGTCGTCGTCGTCGAAGTCGTCGTGGTCGCCGTCTTCGGCGCAGCCGTTTAGGCTCGCCGTGCACGCCGCCGTCTTCGCGGTAAGAATCGTCGCGGGCATCGCACCTGAGCGGCGACCTCAACCAGAACCTGAGTGCGCGCGAAGCGCGCGCGATGGTTCTAGTATGCGTATATATACATATTCATGTGTATCTATATTTCCATGGCCAAGCCACGATTGGAGTTCCGGTTTCCAGACCCTGGGTTCCTCATCCAATGGTTCCTTGTCCATTGTCCTCACAATATTCCGCTGCAGAGGAAAAAAACATCCTGAGGACACCAACCTCTGCGCCATCCACGCCAAGCGCGTCACCATCATGCCAAAGGACTTGCAGCTTGCGCGCCGCCTGCGGGGCGAGCGCGTCTGAGCGGCGCGAGTGGCCGAGCCATGCATGCGGCTTGGGTCGCCCCCAGACCTCTAAGTGTCGAGTAAAAGCACATACGGTCGGCAACTTTGGCTCAGCGTGTCGCTCTTCCGGTTCTTGCCCAGCGCGCTTCGGCACGACACGATATCCACGCCCCCACTACCCGAGCGTCAGTGTCCCCCCGCGGAGCGTGGTGACAGGCTATCCGTTTGTAGGACATAGCGTGTCGCCGGGGTCGCCGCCCCGACACGCTAAGTCCCCGACCGTACACCCTTATGGCAGAAAGCCCCAAACAGTAGGATTACATCTGTGTTAGAGCGAGCGTCATACTGGACCGTACATACGGGAGACCATACGGGATATTATGCGGGAGAGCAAGCGAGAGACCATATTGGAGACCATTCATGAGTTCATGCGGGGAGTATACGGGGGGCCATGCGGGAGACCATACTGGAGACCGTACGAGTGACCATATGGGAGACTGAGCGGGAGACCGTACGGGTGACCACGAGCCAGGCCCTTTCCCAGAAGCGTTCTACAGGACCCTCATCGACAAGCCGCTCAGGGAACAACGCGACGGCAAGCTTGATCTTTGAAAGTTCGGCGCCCCGTGGCCGCTTGCGTGCGAGGCGAGGATTTATCCGTCACCGCCGCCTAGGTCTGGCGGGTCGATCTTCGGTGACCTCGGCAGGCGGTGGATATGGATGCATTCCGTCCTTGAGGTGGCCAAAGTTACCTATATACATGAACCTCTTGTCGAGGTCCCCGAACATCGATCTCCCAGGTGGTTGGTGGGGATCGATCCCCGCCTCGCAGTTCTCGGGCCCTGGGGCCGTCCACGGAGACCGGCCTGGGAGGAAGAACTGGCCTGCGGAGGCGAGGGCGGCAGCACACGGGGGGCCCGCGCCAGGGAAGACTCTTCACGACGGTCGGAGGTCTGGGGCCGCTGGGAGGTGCGAGCGCAGACTCCTGCCAGCGAGGGGGCTTGCCAGCATCGCGCTGCAGGAACGGAGTGCCGCTCGGCATCGTTGCGGAGCCCTGCAGGCTTGCGTGCGTTTGCCCCGCGCCAGCGATGGCGGGCGAAGTTGTAACTGCGGGATCTCGTGGTGGCTCACGGATCCAAGGCGGTAGGACATTTGTGTATCGACCTTTGTTTTCGCAAGCCCGCCACAATTTGAGGAGTGGTTGTCCATACCCCCCTTGGAATCCATCGGCTTCGACACCGAACTCGCGAGGTCGTCGATACAATGGGTTCCCACCAGGGGGGTTAGGACCTCTGCTCCACCAACTGTGGCCGTTCGCTCTCGCATTGCCGCCAATCGTATTTAATTGATCCGTTCGTGCGTCTCGGGCACATCACGTTGCCCAGGACAAATTTGGAGCTTTCTCCTCCTCCTCCTCCTGAATTCGCTGCAGGGTGCGACTATCCCGGGGGGGTCGTCGCCAGCGTGGATGAGCCGGCCTTCCCGGGGCTACGCGCGATGGCATGAGTTAGCGCATGCCAGCAGGAAAACAGGTCGACCAGCAAGGAGGAGGAAGTAGGAGGACGAGGAGAGACAGCCTCTTCGAGACCTAAAGACGCAGCCTGGACTTGGAGGGGTTCTGGAGCGGGTGAAACACAGATGGTAGACCTCGTTCCCCGGGTGATGAATGAGATTTCTCCCTGCAGCAAGGCAGCAGCAAGGACAGTGGAGGGGTAGAAGAAAGTGCAGGCGAAGGAGGCGGAGGAGGGTGGGAGGCGGGTGTGCGAACAGACCGCCTTAGATGTGCGTGTTGGGGACCTTCCCGGGTCCTGGGGACACCTAAGGGATATGTTAGACCCTGGTTCGATTTTAGTCCTCTTCTAGTTCGACTCTTTCTCGACTCAAGTTCGACTCGGATCGACGGACGTTCGAGGCAGCATCGACGCATGAGAGGAGCGAGTGGCGCCAGGAAGGTGCCCAGGACGAGCATCTCAAGGGGAGGGGAAAAGGGGGGGGAGTACGCGGAGCTGTTTTTTTATACAACGTTCTGCAGAGCAGCCCCCTCCGCTGGAGACGTCGTTTTCTAGCGGCCCCTCCCCGCACCGCTTCGGGTAGGGTTGGGGCGGTTTGGTAGTTGGTCAGTGTCGGGTGTAAGCACGGACCGCCGTAGATGTTCGTTTTGGAGACATGAGGCGGCATCCAGGCTCGAGTGGAGCCAGTGGTTTCATGAAGGTTCCCAGAACGAGCATCGAAGACCCTCCCGCCCCTCCCGCCGAGACTCCTGCGGCATGTGCGGCTACGCCGGCCCTCTCGGCAAGACGGTGGCGGACAGACGCGCGCCGCGGCCCGGGGACTGGCACTGCGAGGCCAGGGGGGGCGCCGCCGCAGTACGCTCGGCGTCCTCCCCAGCCTCCTCGCGCTCCGCGCACGACTTGAGTGCACAGTCCTTTATTTTCAGCTTGGGCGCACCGGCAGCTACAAGGACTTGAGCATGCAACCCGAAGTGCTTCACGCTTTGAGGGCGCTTCCGCCGTCCGCAGCCCTCCCCGCCCGTCTCCTCCCGCCGCACCTTCGCCCCAGCGCCTCATACGCTCAACAAGCAGCCGTGTTGTAGCTCGACCGCAACCTGTACCCAAGGCGCCGCATATCAAAATTGCGTGCGCCGTGCCGCGCTGGCGTCTCGCGAGGCGTCCTCGATTCCCGGCCCAGCAGTGACACGGTGCATCGTGTTTTTCGGCCCTCGGCGCTGAAAAAAACAACGAATTACGCACCGCCCCATCATGGCCGAGAGAAGTATGCACTCTGCCGCGTTGGAGCGGGGCGTGGGCGGCGTTCAGACATGGTGCGGTGCATGACGCCCTTTTCGTGCGTGCGTGCGTTCTCTGCGCGGAAGGTACTTTGCCAATGTTCTGCCTTTGGGGGCCCTCGCGGGGCCCTGGGACCTCAAGCAATGACTCGGGATGCAGAGCCCGAGTCTTTGTTTGAGGTCCCGTGCTGGAGAAACCGTGCCGGTCCCTTGGAGCCCACGTTCTGAAAACAAAAACCAAAAATAACACAGCGTCGGAGGTCGGAGGTTGGCGAAAGAGAGGGTCAGACTGTTGCTTCTATGCAGCGGCCGATGCCCAATCTCGACGATCTTCTCGGCCAGTGCCCCTCCCTGTCCGGGTCGGACAACAGGGGGGGGGGATAGGGGGTGATTGGGAAAGGACATGTACGACATATTATGCGTGCGACTGGTGTCGGTTCCGCTGGCGGGCTCCTTTTCACGATACGTTGGCGCCTATGGCGTTGGGGGGGCGCGGGGAAAATCAGCTACGTGAGCTAGTCCGTCGCTAACTTCCCTTTTATCGTTCCACCTGTTTGTTCGCCCGACCCAGCCCAAAACTCAGTGTTTCTCGCAATCTTCTCCTCACGAGGAGGAAAAGGTATCGATACGCCATTGTTGCATATTGCATACCCTCGTCTTCACCTGTTTATGCCACCTGGGGGGCCCTCGTCGCCACGGCTGGATTCGCCTGACAGTCATTGCCAGGACGGGGCCCTGGAGAGGACCCGGGAGTATTGGTATCGGTGCATTTGTGTTCCTCATTTTCCCCCTCGCCGTCCTCATCAATCTCCTCTTCCGCGGCATTGCGAACCAGCCCGTTTTGTTGTTTGAATTCTTGACTCTTCGCGTATCCCCCCCACCAGCATGCTCACCACGCCTGCCTGGCCTTCTCCTCTAGCCCATCTGGCCTGTCGCTGTGACGTTGTCGGCGGGGCCGGCTCGCGGTCGTCCGGGCCTACCGCGTGCACTGTCTGGTGGACTTTTGGGTGCTGTGACCGCGACGGAGTGGTTCAGCCTTTCGCAGCCGCAGCAGCACCCCAGGCTCATCCCCCCTCTTCCGGCAGGTTGCGTCGTTCCACTTTCCTCGGCAGCTTAGCTCCCCTAGCCAGCACACGTCGTTGGGACCGATTGAGCCTGGCGCCCCATTGGCGACTCGCTCATCGGGCTTCGCGCCTGCCCCCTACCCAGTATGACGGACACGTTTGCCCCGGTACACGTCATGTCGCTGTGTGGGTCATGCCTCACGGCAGGCAGCGAATTTATCGACATTTTGTCAGACTGCACGTGCCCGAGCTTCCCAGGATGCCTCTGCCGTCAGCTTCCCGCACAGCCCCGCGGCTGCTTTGTGAGTGGGCCGGCCGGCTAGCGGCGCGTCTTGTAGCTAATTAAGCTTGCCCGTCGGCCCGGACACCTTCTTCGCCGCGTGCGCTCTTCGCTCGTGGCCGCGACCGAAAAAATATCCCCACCAGCAGTGGGTTGGCAGGGCGGTGGAAGCGCTCCGCTAGGCTGATGTGTGGTTGGCAGATGCAGTGTTGATCATGCTTTCCTGGCGTGCAGGACTTAATTCATGTCTGGCGTTTGGAAGCCATTCATTCGCATGGCGCATCAGCTACCCTGGCCGCTTGCAGTCAGCTCAGCCAGCTAACCTTCAGCCCTCGGCCCCACCGGCGGCAGCTTCTGAGTGCGGGCGCGGCCGCTGTGCTTTTACGCTTGCGCGTTGCTAATTTGACAGGCCCGTGGCCCAGACCTCTCAGCTCGGCAACTGCGAATCCGCGTCCGCCCGCGACCAAAAAAAATATCCCCACCAGCCCCTCCAGGAACGATACTCAGGGGGTCCGTAACCATTTTGGCTCAAGTGAGCCGCGCTTCGGGAGGCCCTCGCCACCGCGCCTGTTCAGGCGCAGGCGCGCAAGCGGCCATGGAGGACGACGCCGTCTTCAGCAAGAGTACGGGACGCCGCTGGGCTGCCGCGAGTGCGAGGACGCTCGCTCGTCGCCGTCAGCGTGAATACCGTCGTGTACATGGAATACCATGGGTTCAGGCGCTGCAGCGGCGCATGGTCTTGCTCCGAGCTGGACTGACCGTTCACAGGGACTTGAGCGACGCCGTCGGCGGACACCATCCCAAGATGGGCGACGCCCATGCAGCTGCTGAGCTTCTGCAGGCCGTGTCGCCCGAGCTCAGGACGTCTGCGGCCACAGCGTGCGCTGACAGCAACTGGGCTAGGCACGCGTCACTGCGGCAAACTGACATGCCTGTCCTGTCCAAGATGCTGATCGGCAACAGTCAGGCCACTCTCGATCAGTTTCGCGCCGCGTTGTACATCGGCCGGTTCGGGTCCGAGAGGAAGATCGTGGACGACCTGTTGGGTGCCTTGATGTGTGCGGCGAAGCCCTGGTAGCATGTTGCGGGCGAGCTTTTCGGCGAAGCTGAGCCTCATGGTGATGATCATCAGCGCGCGCTTATTCCCAACCATCCTGTGGTGTTGGGTCCTCGTTTTGAAGAGACGTCCCCGCGTTCCTCTTCTCCTCTTCTTCTCTCCTCCTCCTCCCCCTCCTCCCCTCCCTCCTCCTTCCATGCGTTTCACCCACCCAGCACAGCGCTTCGTGGCCCCATTGGGAGCTCCACCGAAGCCCCCAGTGGGACCGCCCGCATGCGTCCGCCACCGCCCAGCACAGCCCTTGCTCCCTGCGTTTCACCCACCCAGTACAGCGCCTCGTGGCCCCATAGGGGGCCCCACCGGAAGTCCCAGTGGCACCGCCCGCATGCATCCGCCACCACCCAGCACAGCCCTTGCTCCCTGCGCTTCACACAACCAGTACAGCGTTTCGTGGCCCCATACGAAGCCCCACCGAGGGTCCCAGTGGCACCGACCGCATGCGTCCGCCACCACCCAGCACAGCCCTTGCTCCCTGCGCTTCGCACACCCAGTACAGCGTTCCGTGGCCCCATAGTGGGCCCACCGAAGGTCCCAGCACAGCCCTTGCTCTTTGCGTTTCACCCACCCAGTACAGGGTTTCGTGGCCCCATGGGGGGCTCCGCCGAAGGTCTCAATGGCACCGCCCGCGTGCGTCCGCCACCACCCAGCAAAACCCTTGCTCCCTGCGTTTCACCCACCCAGTACAGCGCTTCGTGGCCCCATGGGGGGCTCCGCCGAAGGTCCCAGTGGCACCGCCCGCATGCGTCCGCCACCACCCAGTACAGCCATTGATCCCTTCGTTTCACCCACCCAGTACAGCGCTTCGTGGCCCCATGGGGGGCTCCGCCGAAGGTCCCAGTGGCACCGCCCGCATGCGTCCGCCACCACCCAGTACAGCCATTGATCCCTTCGTTTCACCCACCCAGGACAGCGCTTCGTGGCCCCATAGGGGGCTCCACCGAAGGTCCCAGTGGCACCGGCCGCATGCGTCCGCCACCACCCAGTGCAGCCATTGATCCCTGCGTTTCACCCACCCAGTACTGCGCTTCGTGGCCCCATAGGGGGCTCCACGGAAGGCCCCAGTGGCACCGCCAGCATGCGTCCGCCACCACCCGACACGGCCCTTGCTCCCTGCGTTTCACCCACCCAGTACAGCGCTGCGTGGCCCCATAGGGCGGGAGCGCCACCGAAAAAAAAATTCACAATTGCGGTATTCACAACTGCATATGGTTGGGTCTTTCGCCAGGCGAATTCCTCATGATCTTGCAGATGAGCCTTCTGAGCGTGAATCGGAGCTTCATCGTGTCGATCAAGAACTTCGTTGTCGTGCTGATGGGCGTGTTGCTTTTGCTGCTGGCCCCGAATCTTATCCTCAGGGCGAGCTACCGCCTCAAGAAGTTGCGCACGAGCCTCTTGCATGTTCAGGTGAGCCTCGTTGTGATGATAAGCAAGTGCGTTGTGAATTTGCTTGTTGTGCCCAACGTCCTACTGAGGATGTGCCTTCTGATGGCCATGCCGGGCCAAGTGGTTCCACCAGTGCCGCATTGTGGTCTGCCCGCCGTGCGATTGCGGCTACCTGGCTCTTTGGACCTGCCGCTGCGACTCTCCTGCTGCCGGTCTCTATCTTGCGCCTCGTGAGGCTGGCCATGAAGCTTGTAACGAAGACGTCCATGTTTCTGACGGGCCCGCTGCTCCTGCTGCTGGTCTCGACCCTGTCCTTTGTAAAGCCGTTCGCTCATCTTGTGGCGTATCTCTTGATTTCGACTCTCAGCCTACCTCTCCCTTCCGTTTCCCCGCCATCAGTTTCCGCCCTCCTGAGTGCCACGCCTATGGTCATAGGCGAGAGTACCGTGGGAAGCGTAGCTTGTAGTTCGGGGTGTGTGGTTGTTGGGGGGTGAGGCTGTGGGTGAGGATGAGGGTGATCAGAATGCAGGGTCTATTGCATTTACTGCGAGCCTGCTTGCCCCGCCGCCAGTTTGCCAGCTGGCTTTGTGACTGTGGCCCTTCGTGGTTTCGGTTCTTGTTTTTCGGTCGGTCCCTCGGTCAGCTTCGTTCTGGATCCTGGGTTCCGTCCCTCGTTAATTTCGGTTCCCTTCGGGCCCCTCGTCGTTCGTCGGGTTTGCAGGGGGCTGAGGCTAGCCGTCAGCCCGCGTCCAAGTAAACAAAGGATCAGCAGGGGAGTTGGTGAATCAGGGTCGGCTGGAAGCATGCAGTTGCGCAGCCGTCGTCCGAAAAACAACGATCACAAATAGCTTCCCGCATTGAAGTTTCAGATGGAAGTCAGCGCAAGATGCGACGTGGTGCTCCCCGTGGTAAGCGTCTCTAGCGCAGGTGGCTGCGTCCACTCTGGAACCGAAGTTTGAGATGGAAGCCAGTGCAAGATACGCCGGGGTGTTCCCCGTGGTAAGCGTCTCTGGCGCAAGTGACTGTATCTAGCATTCGTCGCCCTGGTTGCACAGTTGGGACTCGCATTCCCACATGCATTCTTGATCTCTGCCCCCGCATTGAAGTTTGCCTTAAACTCGCGTGCGGCTGCTGGTGTTGGTGATGGTGGTGGTGGTGGTGGTGGTGGTGGTGGTGGTGATGCTGCTTGTGCTGCTGCTTGTGGTGCTCGGTTGCCCTCTTGGAGCCATCTTGGAGCAGTTGGTGTTGCTGGTGCTGGTGATGCCTGGGGCCATCTTTGGGGTAGGAGGAGGAGTAGGCGTAGGAGGAGGACGAGGAGGAGGAGGAGGAGGCGAAGGAGGAGGAGGAACAGAAAAGGAGAAGGGGAACGAGGAGGAGGAAGATGAATAGAAGCAGGGAGGCGGCAGGAACGAAGCAAGGAAGGAACGGACGATGGCAAGGAGAACGGGAAGTCGGGCTTTGGGCAAATGTCGTGATCAGGGGGTCTTCGAAGACTCGTAATGCCATTCGGGCGCCACCTGGGGGCTCTCTTGGGGGGTCTCTTGGGGCTCTCTTGAGGCCCTCTTGCGGCTGTTTTGGGAGGTCTTGGGGCCCCCTTCGGGCTTTTTTGGGGGGTCTGGGAGGCCTCGTGGGCCGTCTTGGACCCCTTTGCTCCACAAGAGAAGGGCTTAACTTTAGCCCCCCCCCCCCCCCCCCTGGCCCCCCACCTTGACGCCTTTTAGGGCCGCTCTTGGGGCGCTCTTGGGCGCTCTTGGGGCCGTCTTGGGGCCCGCTTGGGCCTCTCTTGGGGCTATGTTGGGCCATGTTGGCACCATCTTGACGCTCCTAGAGCCCATCGGAAACCAAAAAACGAAAAGGCAAACAACATTGATTTTCCTTAGGTGATAAACCGACTTGGGCTTCTTGGGGGGGGTCCTTGGAGGGCTCGGGGGACACTTGAAACCGTCTTGGGGCCGTTTTGGGGCCTCTTGGATGCGTGTCGGAGGCTATCTTGAGCCATCTCGAAGTATCTTGGGCCATCTTGGGGGCCATCTTGGGCTATCTGAAACCCTCTTGGAGCTATCTTGGGCCATCTTGGACGCTCTAGCCCCTCGGCCCCCCCCTTCCAGACCCAGGGAGGGGTGGGAGGTAAACCTCCCGAGCAGGGAAAGGAAGGAGGTTGGAAAAGGAAGCGCTCTAGACCACCTGCGCCCAGAGGGCTGGTGGGATTTCGTGTCTGGCGTTTTGCAGCGTGAGACCTTGGGACCTACCACGCTCTCCTTCAGGCTGTGGCGGCTGCTGGGGTGTCCTCCCCCCGGAGTTGGAGCGGCGTTCCCTTTCCCCGTCCCCGTCGTTCTGCGTGCGGCGGTGGGAGCAACATTTCTCTAGGATATTAGGCACAGACTAAATGACTTTGGCGCGGGACGGTGAGGTGTCCACAGAGCACTGACCGAGTCGTGTGAGTAAGCGGGCCTAAAGCGGAAGTGCCTGAGCAGCGCAACCCCCTCTCCACAGTTTAGCTCTGCACAGCCAGGATACGAATAACAACCTTAGCACAATCCTGCACCGACCGACCGACCTCGTCTTCATCAAGTGGGCACCCGAATTATCTGGGGTATACCTGGTCCGTGTCGGGCCCTGGTTGTGTTCTCCAAGTGTGATCTGGGAAAACCAGGAACAATTTGACTTGATCTAGAATAAGTCCGGCTTCAGGAGAGCACTGGACATCATCCAGATGGGGCAGAATGTGATCCAGTTGAGTGCACTCCGGAGAGGCTCTGGAGCGAAAACGCGACGCCCTGATCAGGAGTTATCCTTGACCAGCCCCTGCCTTGATAACCCGGGGCTCTGCAATCCAGCACCGACCGACCCCGCCCTCATCGGTCTCATCCCGCAGGGCGGTGGCGGCGGGCGTCGCCAGAGAGCGATCGGGGAGGCGGGAAAGGGAGGCAGGGAGGGAGGGAGGGAGGGAGGGCAGGAGAAGTTGGAGGATAATCGATGAGGATCGATTGGGATCGAGGTCTCCTCCCGTGGCTGAGTGCGGAGCGAGCCCATGAGCGCCTGCCGCCGTCCCTCCCGCACGGTGCACCGAGCGGTTAACCCATCATGCGGGCAATCGTTCTATCCGTTGACGAACGAACAACGCACATACACACCCAGCCACCTAGTGGTCTCGGCGGGCGGAGGACTGGCTATGGGTAGAGGTGCGGGCTACCGCGGCGGAGGCTCCCCTTCGAATCGGGACCCCTATCCGACAACATAGCCTCCTCCGTCCCCCCTACGAGTATTGGTGTGTGTTGTTCGTTCGTCATCTAGGTGTTCTTGGACTCCAGGGCAAGGTTTCTGCGGAAGGGAGCCCGAAACTCCAAGACGCAGTGGATATGTATGCAAATCCTGCCCGTACAGCAGGGGCGTGGCCCATTTTTCCCAGGGCAAGATCTCGAAGATAAAACGGCAGAGCCATAATTTCTCGGAGGTCCTCGCGGATGTCTTGCATCGGCTTTGGGCCCCCCTTGCGGCGCCTCTGGCGCCGCCCTGCTCTGCACGCCAGGGAGGGGGCCGAGCGCCGATCCAAGAGATCCGCGCGGACCTCCGATATCCATTTCTGCTTGATAGGACGAGGCTACGATCAGCCGAAGTCCACCGAAGCGTATCTTCTGCACAGAAAGGAAGGAGGAGGGGTCGCGTTCAGGAAGCGGCTTCAGGCCGAGAAGGGCAGGCCCCGTCTATCTTTTTGTATACACATAGATGTGTGCATATCTGTATGTTACACACATACACATATACATACATCGGAGGTGCAGGGGTGATATCGAAACGGAGAGACCCCCACCAGGAATCCGGTTTCGGTTTCGTGTTCGTGCCGTGCGCGCGGGCGAGGCGAAGCTACGTGGGCGGGCGAGGGGAAAGAACCCTCTTCTGGTTAGGGCGCCGCCGGGCCAAAAGACCGCCCTCCCCCCGGGTTGTCGCGCGGTGGCCAGGGGTGTCCCACGGGTGTCCCGTCAGTGTCCTTTCAGTGTTCCGTCGGTGTCCTGACGATGTCCCGTTGTGAGATCGATAGTGATGAATGTTGTGCTGGATTGAACACATCATGCAGGTATCCCTCGGATTCGAGCCCGCGAGGCGGCGGCAGCGGCAAGGTCTTCAGCCGATGCATCGCGCGATGCTGGTCGATAAGGCGTCGCGGAGCGACGCCTTGTAAGCATCGCATTCCTCGTTACCATCGTTCAGTCCCCATGGGACCGCGGATGCAACCTCCGCTCCCCGCGCGGCAGTCGTGCGGCAACCTGTGCTTCGCGGCGCACGACGCGTGCAAGCAGTGCGGGGCGCCGAGGGGCGGCGCCCCCAGCCTGGCCGACACCGGCGGCAAGGGCGGCAAAGGACCCGGCCTGACCCTTCGCGTCCAGCTTTCCATCGCCACCACCACCGACATTGCTCCTGCGGCTGCTCCGCCTCCGCCGCCTCCGCCTCCTCATCTGTCCCCTCCTGCACCATGTCCCTCCGCACATCATCCTCCATCCTCCTCCATCCTTCTCCCTCCTCCTCCCTCCTCCCCGCCTCCTCCTCCTCCTCCTCCTCCTCCTCCTTTTACTTCTCCCCCTCGCACGCTCGTCTCCTCCTCTTCGTTACCAGCCTGAAACATAGCCCTATCCCTAAGATTGGCATCAGCTTATCGCGGTGCTGATCTTGAGGAGTCCGCCTGTGTCTGAGGGTGCGTCCCGAAGGTTGTCATCGCCTTGGGCTTGTCAACCTTCGAGATCATGAACGGCTCGAGACCGGTTGATTACCTCCTCCATCCCCCTCCATCCTTCTCCATTATCTTTCTCCACCATCTTTTCCCATCATCTTCCTCGTTGTCCCCCTCCTCCTCCTCCTCCTCCTCCTCCTCCTCCTCCTCCTCCTCCTCCTCCGCTTTGGTGTACATAAGTGTGCCCCAGATTGTCGCATCTTTTTGGGTCAAGCGCATTAAGCTAAAATTGTTTGGGGGAACTGCGTGCCACCACGTGCCTTGCAGGTCCTAGTCCGCTTCCTTGATGTCGCGGTCGAGACTTGGAACTGGTGGATTCTGTCTTGGCGTAGGTCTTGCTGTTTCCGCTCGTACTCTGCTTTCGCGTGATGTAGTAACGGGAATAGTGTTGCTTCTGTCTCAATGTGTCATGTTTATGTTTGTTCATGTGCTGTCCTGTATTTGCGCAGCGTGAGATGCTGGTTCTGGATGTACGATTTTGTGCCTTGCTGGTACTGTTCTGTCGTAG